AGGTTCTAAAACGTCTGCAGAGGACCCTGAGTTGTTACATGGCAAAATTAATATCAACAGACAGTGGAGAATTATTTTTCCTTCCTTTTTCCCCTTGTGTTTCACCTTGAAGCAGCTGTTAGCGAAGCCAGAAAACTCCTCTGCCCCTCAGTGTATTTAATACAGCCTTGGCAAAGGGACTGCAGTCTGTCATCTCATGAATATGGGAATTGCCTAATTCTTCAGCTATTCTTATTACCTCAGCCTGAGGGTCCCAGCTTTCCATAACTAATTCCTGAAATCACAGACTTTCCACTGTCCTTGCTGTCCTTGAGCAGTAAATCGCTGCTCCTCATGTAACTGATGCCGTTACCTGCTGTCGTGACACAGGTTTTCTGAGCCCCCTCCCTGAGCAGGGATGACACTGTGGACAAAGCTACTGACCCCAGTACTCCTGTGCAGTTCCTGGAGCTACTCACCTTCTGTCGCTGTAACTTGGAGCAGGGTATTTTGAAAATAACAAATGCTGCATGGCACTCTGCAGTGGCTAGGGGCTGGCTGAACAGCTCTGAAGCCTGGGCAGCAGGCTGGCAGCAGTAATGCAATCCATCTCCGGAAGCAGAGATTCCCTCACCCTCTACCAACAAGACACAGAGCTCCCTGACTCTTTCCATGTCCTACCTCATCTGCAACTCCCACGAAGTTGAGGGATTTGAAATGTTTCCTACCTGTCACTTCATCTTTCCCTCCTTGTCACATATGTTCTCAGTCTACCTTCCCTCCCTGTGCCCATGTACCTGTTTTCTGCTCCTTCATTATTTTTCCTAATATCAGTGATCCTGCCAGCCCTGTCCATCTTCCCAAGACTCAGAGCTAAAGCTGTTCCTGTGCTACAAGGTGGCAACTGCTGCCAGGACCCAGCTGTTAGGGCTGCTGTGAATTGCAAAGCAGCTGGAAGCTGAGGCTGAGCTAATTATGAAGGAGGGACTGCAAACCTTGTGGAGATTCTGGCCAGAGGTGCCTAGTTTATTCCCAGAGACAAATGGGTGCATCCTTTAAATGTCAGCAGGTGACATGTGAGCAGGAAAATCACCGAGCTGTGGACAGCTTTACAATCCTGGCTACAGAGTGTTGCATGTGATGCCTCCTCATCTCACAAACACCCACGACTGCTGCTGCCAAGCAGCTCTGGACAAGGAGAACGTGCTCACACGCTGCAGTGGCAGCTGAGGAAATCTTAATGCTGGTTTCAAGGGCTAGATTCCTACAGAGCACAGACAGGTAAAAGCTTTTCTCAGAGGCCAGGAAGTAGCTACGGTAGCACAGGCTATTGAGTGAGGACTATGGCAAGGTGGAAAAAACCTGTAAGTTCTTCCTGTTTCTTTTGTGATACAGGATTTTTTCCCTAGAGTTTGCCAAATGGGTAGCTGCATCAATGGTTAATAAAAATGGGATTATGTCTTCTAGTAGTTTATTGCTTCTTTGTGGTTCAAAACTGGCCCATACAGATGCCACAGAAGGAATCACCTTGATAGTCCATGGTTTTGTAATCCAGACCTTCCTTTCAATTAGTCATATTATAGGGCTGTAAATACAGTAATTCCATCAATACTATGAAGCAGTCATGCTGCATTTGTATTAACATAAACAAGTGCTAATGTGCCATAGAGCTAATCTGGTATGACAGTAATTGGCCGATGCCCAGCCATGGAGGCCCTGGAGCTACATTTGCTCTCTCTTCTCTGAAAGAACTGTCCTCTGAAACACTGGAAAGGCAACAAATTGTGATACCATATCTTGCCTGCCAGCAATGAACAATGCACTTCTTGCAACTGCAGCATCCAAGCTGTTTGGGGTGGGAAGACATACTTGTTTGGGGGGGAGTGTATTTAAAGTGGAACTTGATCTCCTACAAACTTAAATATCAAGAAATCAGGATTTCCAGAACACCTTGTAAGACTAGATCAGACTTGGCAAGCATCCAATGGATATTAAACCCAGAAAAGCCATAAAAGCATTCAGTCTTCCTTCCCTTCCCTCTGTGACTACTGGGAGCTGTACTTCATCACCTAGTCCGCAGTAGGCTCTTCTCACACCAGTGAAGCTTAAGAAGCTTAAAACTTTGTAAATGCTTCGGGGCTACCATTGTTGTCTTGTGCAGTGCTCTACAGATAGGGCAGTAAGACTTAAATCCGAGACTGCAGCTGGGGTTTTCAGGTTAAAGGCCTTAAAGATCAACATAAGCAGTGCCTAGGGATGGGAACCAGATGTCAAACGCAGCCCATCTCCTGTCTGGGCCATGAAAGCAAGTGCACAGACTTAAAAACAGGCTAGGATCAGGAGTCTTCAGGGTTACAGTCACAATAGGAACGATTTACTTTGCTTTCGGAAATATGCCCTTCAAAGAGAGTCTTAGTGAGGAGAGGCCTTCTCTCACTTGTGAGGAAGGCTGTCAAGACACAGCAGATATCTATCTAGGCTTTCTGTATATGGCTCATCAGTTCTGTGCATGCTTTGCTGTCTGGCTGTACAATGCCTTGCCTAATGCACCCTCATCCATGATAGAGCTCTTGGGTTCTACCCCAGTACAAACCAAAGAACAATCAGAGACTTGTCTTAATCATTCTTCTCAACAGTATGGCACGAGAGGCACATAATTTTTGGCAATATGCAAGAGCAGTATCTCAAAATCCCAAAGCATATATGACCTGTCAGTGCCCACAATAGCTGCTGCAACACACAGTGAAATTAAGAGAGAATTTTGTTAGAGGAGGTGGGAAAGAACACCCTAAACAGAGAATTTAGGATCTGTGAGATGATGGCTTGGGTTCTGGATTTGACTTAAATCTTTCTAGGTCTCTGATCTGCTCCTCCATCTGTAAAATGGGATCAATAAAACCTCTCCGACTTGCAGCAGGGCTCCCAGTTCTTAATTGATGTCTGTGAAGCATTTTGAGAGCCATGAATGAAAGAAACCATTACCAATCCCTCAGGCCGTACTATAATACCAACAAACAATGCAGAGTTGTTTATAATGCTTTGCAGTGCCACAATGACTAGGAAATGAGGGAAGGCAAAAGTGTAGATGCACCCAGGGCTGCTCTGCTGCAGTGTAAATAAAAATGGTAGGAGCAGGTTTTATAGATTTCCCTCCGGGGAATTATGTTGTAGCTACTATTTTCAATAATGCAGTAAAACTTCTGCCTCTGTGAATTCAAATAGATGCCTTTGCTAATAGCTCAGGTATCAAAACCTATTATGAATTCGGGAAAATGCATCCTAGAGTTAAAAACGTTATGAATCACATGGAAACGAATTAAGAAATGACTCACTTGTACTCCGCAGATTTAAAGAGCTAGGTGCTGCTCAGCCCACCCTTACAACAATTGAACTCTGGCTAATACCACGCCAGCACACAATATTCCACCTTGCACAGGACAAAAGCCCCGCGGCATCTAAAAGGCTCTAACCTGCTAATTTGCAGAGCTGCCTCTGCGGCTGCCGGTTTAGGACCCGGCGAGAAGCAGCCGGGGGTCTCACCCGAAGCCCTGCGCAGCGCGGGCCAACGATTTGCCCAGAGCAGAGCGGTTCGGCCCGCTCGCCTGCGCCAGGAGCGGTCGCCGAGGGCTGCGAGTGAGGAGCCAGCAAAGGCAGGAGGTGGGGGGCAAGCGGGTCCCCCAGCAACAAGCAGGTGTCAGCCGGGAAAGGCACGGAAGGGTTCGGGAAGCGCGCGTGTCCCTCCTCCCCGCTCCCGCCGCGCTCCCCGGGCCGGGCGCGGAGAGAGCGGTTGTACCCGAAGGGCCCCGTCGGGGCAGGCACCCAGCGCCTGTGGAACGAGACCCAACGAACAAATAAATGCCTAAAAAGCTGTCCCCGGTTCCCCTCCGTGTGCCGCCCCGGGAGAGGGGCAGAAGCCGGGCAGGGGCGGGGAGGCCACCGCCAGCCCCGCAGCCCTTCCCCGGCGCGCAGCCATTCGCCTTTGTTGCGGCGCCGGGGCTGAGCCCGCGGCCCGGGGCGCGATCCCCTCAGGTGAACGGCCCCGGCAGCGCGGCGGAGGGGAGACGCCCGGCGGCAGCAGCTGCCAGGATGGGTCCGCCCGCACCCACCTACCTGCGGAGCCCGCCCGGGACGAGTCGCCTCCCGCCTTTGTTGTGCGTGCCCCGGCGGCGCCGAGCCGCCCCGGCCACCCCCTCCGCGCCCGCCGAGCGGCGGCCAGGCCCCGGCTTAGCCCGTCGCCACGGCAACGGCGGGCGCGCGGCGGCGGCGCGTGCGAGGTAACGGCCGCAGGGGCTCCGCCCGCCGCGCAGCCCGGGGCGGTGGCCGTGAGGGGGACGGACGCACAGACACACACACACGGAGCCGGGTGCCCCCGCGGGGCGTGGGGCGGGCGCCGGGAGGAGCCGGCCGCTCGGCCCCGGCTGTCGCGGGCGCTTGGCTTTGGTGAGGGCTTGAGCGGCGGGAAGGGGAGGGAAGGGGTGGCGGGACCGGGACCGGGACCGGGAGCAGGCGGCGGCTCGGCTCGGCTCGGCTGGGCTCGGCTCGGCTCGGCTCGGCTCGGCTGGGCTCGGCTCGGCTCGGCTCGGCTCGGCTCGGCTCGGCTGGGCTCGGCTCGGCTCGGCAGCCACCCGCCCGCCCCGCCCGCCGCCCTGCTTGGCGTGTCCTGCAGCTCCCGAGCTGGGCTTGGATTGGCGCCCGGCTTCCCCTTGAGGTGCTTGGGATCCCGCATTTTCCATATCTGGTAGCTTTTCTTTAGACTGACCGCCGCGGAAGTCCCCAATATCTGGTCACAGACTGCACCCTCTTTTGTCCTAAAGCAGGCATGGCTCTGGTGACTTTCGTGACCATCTTCCTATCCCAGCCTTCACAGTCTTTTGCACCCGACGGGCAGCCTCGCTGGAGCCAGCGGAACTGCTCAGAGAATGAAGCCAAGGCAATGGTAATGCCTCTGGTTTTCCCCATTCCCGAGCACAGAAAGGAGTTGTATCCTGCATTTGCAACTATTTTATTCTCACTTGCCATTCATTTTAGGGGTAGCAGTGCCAGCTTGAACGCCTCTTCCCTTTCAGACAGTAAGGACTTGGCAAACTTGATGGTTGCTTTCATTGTTTCTAGGATTAAGTGTCACAGTTCACTGGCTCTATCATGTAATGCTAGATTGAGCTGCATCTTATTATCCATCTTGTATGTGTGTATGTTCATCTCATTCCAAACAGGCAGGTTCTGGATTGGTAAGACTTGTTAAATGAAGTTTCCCTGATCAGAATTGCTCACTTTCATGGGTTTCATTAAGTGATCAAGCAGATGTAAAGACATTGTTTCTGTTTGATGATGTAATTAAGTAGAGAAGAACTAAATTCTGAAGAGAAAAGCTGAACTCAGAGAGAAATCAATGGCATGGCAACCCTGAACCCTTTATGTGTGTTCAACACCTGATTATACATGTTTTTTCATTCTGTGGTCTGTCAAACTCCCATTTCACCTTAGGATTTCAGCGGCACTGGGCTCACACAGCATCCTTCACTGAAGACTCTTAAATTACAATCCAACATATGAAACCTCCTCGGTAAACTTCATCTGAGAGAGAAGACAGACGCAGAGACAAAATGTGTTCAAGGTCACAGAGGAGTTCGCTGGCACAGCTGGGAAAAATTGCCAGAGCAGCCGTGTCCCAACCTTGCTCCTCACCCACCAGCCTTTGCCCCCCTGGCCGAAGGCAGCAGCCCGAGCAAAGCCAGCCTTGCTTTTGGGGGGGCAGGGGAGAGGGGACGTGACACACCCGTCCTTTAGTTGCCCCTGGTAAATCTGGGCCTGTATATTGCTCATTCAGTAAACAATCTCTTTATTACAGAGTTTTTCACCGTATACAAGGATGCCTGGAGGATGACCCAGTGTTACTGTGCTATAGAGGATGATAAGAACTTGGAGACTTATTGCGATGATCTTTGCAGCTCCCCCTTGTTGTGGTTTAGGCCTGATTGGCAGCCAGGACACCCCTGCAAAGAGCTGCCTCCTTTTCTGATGCATGCTAATTTATAAATAGCCCCCATTCCGCTGCTTGGAGAAAGCTTTCATTTCTCCTTGTACTTGATGTACGTGATACTCTGCAATGGAGGGCAGATGTTTGTACCAGATTCTGCTCCCATGGAAATCAGCAGTAGAAGACTCAGAGGCAAGAGGTGAAATAGCATCAGGGTTATCTCCTGTCCTCAGCTCAGAGCTCCTGTTACAGCCAGTCTGAAAGGGCAGGAGATGCCCTTGGACTTCGCAGCATAGTCTCAAGCGCACGCACGCCTGTGTCTGCTGGAGATCAGCATCCTGTTGTTTCAGAGTCCAGTTACAGCTAAAGCTGGAAAAAAGAAGTATCTGTCTGCATAAATAGGAATTTTCCTCAATTGCAGGAGCCAGCAGAGGACACTGCTTTGTCTCTGGCTCTGAAAGGGCTGAGTGATATTTTTTTTTTCTTTTTGTTCCTTTTGCTGCCTTCTTCCTGCTCCATGACTCTGGTGGCACCTTCGGCAGAAGAACAGTCATGATCCCTTCTTTCTTTATCCATATCCATCCGAGGATTTTATTTTCCAGATTGTTTGCTGCTGCTGAAGCTGTAGCAATAACGCTCCCATATAGCTTTACTTAAGGGAGGGAAGAAACAAAACCACATGACAAATCGGTCCAATTTATCACAGCAACAGAAACCTGCAATTCAGCTAAATCGCCCCCACAGGCCAGCTTAGGTGGCATCAATATTTAATGACCCGAGTGCCTCTGCCTTTGCTGCTCTGGCTTCACCTCGGCCCCTCCTCACATCAGAGCACGCCCCCCCAGGTTTGGCACTCCACCGGCAGGGGAGGGCACCCCCACGCTTCCTCTGGGGTGAAGGGGGTCTGTCTCCAGGCTGCAGATAGCCCACTTGCTATCTGCAGTGGCCCAGCCCAGACCTGCTGGGCATGACCAAATTCTGCCCCTTGTCCTACCTGGCTGCACCACCTGTGCGGCACATTTATGCCCGAGTAACAGCTCCCAGCTTTCTGGGCATGTCTGTGGGCTGTGGCAAGCAGACAAGCAGGAGCAGGACTGGACCCATCTCAGTTCACGGCCTCTCCTACAGCCTTTTTTGGGATGATTGTACAACCCAGACAAGGCTGTTCACCTGGTAGCAGGCTGGAGGTGAGTTCTGTTCAGCTGTCTAAATCTGTTCCCACTATTCAGGCAGGAGTATTTTATCCCCAAAGGAGCTGCAGTGAAATAAACGCCCAGCAACAGGACCTGAAAAGAGGATGAGCCAAGCCATACCAAATCCCTCCCACCCATGAGCAAAGGGGGGCAGCTGGGGAGCTCAGGGGTCTCTTTTGCTGGGCCCAGGCTCCAAGCTGGCCACAGCGACTGACATCGAGCATCTCCCAGCTCCGCCCTGGCATGCTGCTGTGGCTCTTTTCTGGCCTGCTCTGCCTGAGACAGCAACAGGAACAAGTGACAGGTTATCCAGTTATATATGGCCGCATGCACGTTCCCTCATGGCTCTTGCCTCAGTTTCCCTGGTCTGTAAAATGGAGATGAGCAAGATCTCCTGGTGAGAAGCACAAAGTAAGAAGAGGCATTTTTATTTATCAGGGCAGTGGTGGCATGGGGGAATTTGCACTGCTGGGCTGACAGTAAATGACCCAGCAACTTGAATTCCTCCAGCAAGACCACACCTTACACCAGACTCTCTGTTCACTTAAAAACCCCCATTACCCAGCAGATTGCAGATTCCAAAGCGGGTGTTCAATATCCACTCCAACGGCATTGAGTGGCAGAGGCCATTACAATAAATGGCTTTTTGGTAAGATGGCTCTAGAACACACTTGGTATTTTAACACTGGCCAGGGGGGCTCATCTCTATACAGAGAACACATTAAGCAAAGCACCTCTGTGAACATTCCCCTGTGTTAAAGAGCTGTGTTAATGCGGGTGATTAAGAATAAACATAACAGCAGAGGCTGCTGTCTCAAAATAGTGTGGGTCAGTGGCTGCGTGGCAGAGGGGACCATGATGCATTCAGAGAGCTCACATATTTGTGAGGGAACAGCTGGTTTGCTGCAGACCATCCAGAGACGCTGGGCTTCTTCCAGCGCCAGAGCTCGGCAGCTGCTGGGGTTTGCTTCCACCCCCTGGGTGCTCAGTGACAGCCCCCCAGCCCCTCCGCTCTGGTGGTTGTAGGGCACCTGTCTTGCTATGGGCACGGCCTCAAACTAACAGCAGAGCTGTGCAGATCGGTATGTAACTCAGCAAACACATGCAAGTGCCCTGGCAAATACTTAATGGATTGTTCCACCAGTTAACTCTCCAGGAAAGGAACTGAGAGCCAATTCAGTGCCTTCCAAATCACAGCTCTGTTAAAAAAATTAACAGAGCACAGCTCTTTCTCTTGGCAGCTGTCCAGTTATTAATTTCAATGTATCAGCTGCATCTGAATGGGTTTGGGCTTCTGCCCACTATTTCTATTTATTTGTTTTCCATTCATCTCCGCTAAAATTAAAACTCAAAACCTCCTAGAGAAAATGTAAAACAAACATGCTGAACCAGTGTTGCTGCCCACATACAATGGGCAGAAATCACTGCACTTGTTCCTCCTCTGCAGTAAGGTAAGATCTAATTCTTTCGACTTGGGGCCTCTCACCTAAAAAATAGCGCAGGCACCTACAGCACTAGCTGCAGCCTTGAGCAATCCTTGTTTCTGAGCGCATCAGTAAGCAGCAGCCTTCAGCCCTTGACTGTAGGTTTTGACTGTGTACTGGGTCACAGTGACTGCAGAGGTCCTGTGCTGGAGACCCTTCTGGATTAAACAGCATCTGCATGGTTTAAGAAGACAGGGCTGACAGTCCAGATGGTCACACTGAGGCTCCAATCCCACAGAACAGTTTGCATTGCACCCATGTTACAGTACAGTGTGCATTGGCTGTGGAAAGAACTGCATGCTTTTAAAGGAAAACACATATAATAACACAGCATTTTTTCCCCCCCCTTGCTTTTTCCCTTGTTGCTATCAAGAGCCTGGTGGAGGTTCCTCAGGCCAAGCTTTGCCTGTGCTAACTGGAGTTAGATGTTCTACCCTGCTGTAAGCACCCAGCCTGCCCAGTGCTTGCCTGACTTCTTACTGGTGTCTGTTTGTTCTGAACCCAGCTTTATCTCAAAGCACATCATCTGATAAAATGTTTTGCTATAAACAGCCAGGCTTTTACTATGGTGTGATTCTTTACACACCAGAGTGTGAATAAGAACTGAAAAGCCAAAGGTCATGAACTTACTTTTAAAGTGATACAAATGACAAAATATCCTCATTTACAAACAACTACAATTTTTAAATCCTATTTCCAACAGCTCAATCAATAGGATTTAACTGTTGATGTACAGGAAGAGATTCTTAATAAGATATGTAAAATGCACTAAAATAAAGCTTTGGTCTTTTTCAGTGCTTTGTCTTACAATTCAAGTGTTTTCCTTCCTTAAAAACACATGCAAGTGAATGCATAGTGCAAGGTATGAGTCTGCTTGAGTAAGAAATTCTTCTGCCCATTACCTAAACAGATTTCCTTCCACCAATAAATAGAGTTCCCAGTTCTGCATTTAGGGCATCATCGGGAATGACATCATCCTCCATGAACTCATCTCCAAGCTTCTTCCACCATGGCCAGCGAGTGTATTTCAGCATAGTGTTGTGGGATTGTCTTGCCTTAGTGGCGACAGGGATTGATCGACTCATAAAGACATCAAGATCTTTTTCCGTGGTCTCTGCTAACCCTGGAGCATCTGTAAGAACATGGAGAAGAGTTTTCTGTGTTTTGTTTGCGGTTTTACAAGTATTTCAAACAAAAAAAGAAAGAGCACTACCCTCCCACTTTCCACTGTCCGAGGTCACTCCTTTCCCCATGCCGGCATTACAATTTTATGGCTGCATGATAAGCCTGATTAGAGATCCAAATTAAGGCTAATCTGAAAAAATAAATACATAATGGGGGAGGGAGAAGAAGCAGTGAAAGCAGGACTACTTCATTCAGGTGCAGTGGTGGCATCCACCAAAATGACTTCTGAAACTATGACCTAAGAGAAAGAGCAGCTCCCGGTCGCTACTGCTGGATCGGCGCACCCGGTGCAGGGTGACATCAGTGGAGCGTTCCCACCGCGCTGGCGCAGCAGCACTGCGTATTCCCGGCCGGGGGGGGGCACTCCGCACGGTGTAAGAGTGTGTTGATGATTTGCCTGCTCAGGGAGCGATGAGCTGAAGTGACACAGCACGTGACAGACTAAATAATGGAATCCAGTAACTTGCTGAATTTTGTCCGGCTTGGGTGCTCTCTGGTGGCTGCAGTTTGCTACTCTCCCTCTTTCACTCCAGGCTACTTGTTTGGAATTCAGATAGCACAATAGGGAATTCCATTTCAAATAAAGCCAGGCCAGAGAAAATGCAAACATGACTCAGAATTCATAGCTCAAAAATTTCCCTTTTTATCTGGAAGAGGTGACAACACTTCAACCAGCAGCTTGCTTACAGCACAAGAAAACAGAACAAAGTAAAACAAATGTAGAGGAATAGGTTTTGTGAGGTCCCCTTCTTAGAAATTTTGATGCCTTTTACAGGGCCATTGCTTTTCTTGTGAACATATCAGAGACTTATAGCAGAAGAATCAGCCGCTCCTTGAAAAGCCAGCGTATATACTTAACCTATAGTTACCTGGATAAACTCTAACAAAGCCTGAATCTCAAGATAAGGCACAGAGCAAAGGAAGAAAGATACTTCAGTTTTGAAAGGAGGCTTTAGCACTGTTCCCTCTAATTTTCTCTCTAAGTGAGTTTAATCGAAATGGTAATCAAAACTATGACCAGAGCAGTCACATACTCATTAGCAGCTCCACATCGGTGTTGACCTGAGCCAGTAACGTCTCTCTCCGCCGCGCTGCTCTCTGATCCAGTCTGCTCCTCAACAGGAACTGTGCCAGCTTTTCCTGGGCCTGCATATGTAATTCTTTACTCATTTCTTCTGACATTTGGGAAGCCTGGAGGAAAATAACAGTTTATTATCATTTGGAACTGGTTATTTTAAATCTTTTGGGAGCAGAATAATGTCTAAACAAGGAATGCAAATACTGTTCTTAATTGTTAACTTAATAATTTTGCTTCCTCTGCAGCTCTCTCCAACACTATTCATCATCAAGTATATAAATTTTCCATTTACAGTTTGCTTTGATCCTTTTTATTAGATTAATGGTTAAAATCCCCAATATCCTACTGCCTTGCTGTCAAACAAGCAGGGTTAGTATACGCATACCTCACATGGATTATCTTGATCAGAATTTATGAAGCTGAATATATTTCATCCCTACAGTATTTTATGTTGCATCATTAATGCAAATTATGAAATGACTAAGAAACAGACCGGATGCAATTTGATGTAGTCATCCACCTTCTGCTGCAAAGCTAGTCTCTGCTCATCAGTCAGTCCCTTGGGATCTTTCCAAGGAGAGAGAGGTCTCCTCCTTCTTCGTTTTTCCAAGAATTTACAAGCCTTTGTAAAGAACATATGAGAATATGACAATCACGGGCAGGAAGTTTGTCTTCTTGCTTTGTTTATAATCAATCAGTGAAAGAAAAATGTTTCAGTACTGCATCTGTTAAAGCATAAATTTAGCTATGATGCTGAAAAGACAACACACGATGGTCAGCATGAATACTAAAGAGTAAGTAAGAACACTCATAATAAATTACTGACTCATTTGTAGTATGGTGAAATTCCAACCCTAGGTTTCAAAGTGGCAGGTTTTATATTTTACTAAAAGACTGTATTAGGCTTTGTAACCTACGCAAGGTCTAACCTGTCTAAGCAACTTCTGGCTCTAGAGTATCATCCTCTGAATAATTTTTAAATAAATTATGGCCACATTGACAGTAAGAGAATAAACAGAGCTTTTTGAGGCATCGCAATAGTCCACTCAGTTCTATCTAATGTTAGAACAAAGTATATACACTTACAGCTCTCTGAAGGATGACAGCTGCTTTATACTCCTTAAGAGATTGTCTCTGTTGATGAAAACTTCTTCTTGCTCTATATCCTCGCCAGAATCTCTGGATAGTTAATGCTGATTTCCCCTCCATATCCTCCATGTACTTATTTACCTGACCTACAAATGTAACAAAAATCCAGTTATAAGACTGTGGGTTGGGATTTCTTAACAATTAACATTCTTATCCTCAAACAAGATAGTACCAAAAAAGCTTGGGTGCTATCAGTTTAAAACCCTTCTTCATCCCAGGTTCACTAGCTGTGGGCCATGTCTCAGAGACCCATAGCTGCAATGGTGCTTTGTAACACAAGAAAACTCCCTTTCTCCTGCACCATTTTGAAGCAGCTCTTGATCAGTAGTTACTGAGCCCCTGTAGAATTAGCATATTCTCTGTCAGATAATTGGGTCAGGAGAACAAACACTAAGACTACAGCGCAAACAGACATGCAACATTAGGAAATATACTTGGGGAAACTGTTCTTAAGGAGACCCAGACAGTTTAATCTTCTGACATAGTTTAATATAAATCATACTGGCATGGATTGTTTCCAGTAAGGCCAGCTGTTGTTCATGGAAGAGTCTCATGGCCCTCTGTCTCTGAAGTTGCATTTGCAGTTTTAGAGCCTCATCTTCCTTCTGTTTTTTTAAATGCTGCAGCTCCTGTTCCCGTTTAGCTCTGCAATACACAAATACATTAACAATTAGTTTAAGTTGTACATTTCTTAAAAGTACCTCTCTTTCTTTTGTGTTAAATGGTCCACCATCAAGGGAGGAAATCCACAAAATAATCTGCCATCCCAGCTGTTGGTTGCAGGACCACATCAAGCAACAAGAAATCACCTGCAAGCTAACAAATTACCACACTATCTATAGCCATGAAAAATTCTGAGACAGTCACTCAATCTGGTATCAAATCGAAGGACATATTTTTACTTAGGATAAAGTTCTAAGGACCCTGAACTAGAACAACACTTCTGGTTCCATCTTCTGGGAAGAGGTAAAGCAACATTATCCCCCTGCTCCAGTATGCACCTTTTCCAGTGCATCCATCAGCATGCATAGCACCTGCATTCCATAATACATACTATTATTTTCGTACTGACTGCAAGAGTAGATCAGAGTGTTAGCTCTTAAGGCTCACTTCTTAAATTTGGAGGGATTTTTTTTTTCTCCAGGTAATACAGACTAACACATTTTCCCCATCCACTTTGTTAATAGAACACTAGGAAGGAATTTTCCTGCAAATTCTTCCTGATCTGTACTAATTGTTGTCATCTGATGTTACGATGATGTCCCACTGTGCTTGTCATTGGAAAAGCCCCAGCAGATATTTTGCAGATGAGAGAAATGAAAACTCTGTAACTGGCCCTGGAGTGTTTAAGCTATTAGTAGCCTGTATATCAATTATATATACATTAACTTACTCATACAGAGACTAATATACTAATACTAAATATACTGATGTATAGATACAAATAAATACCGAGACCACTTGGACATAGCCTCAGCAAAACATGAGGAGCTGTCAGCTAGGGCTCCCTTCCCTTCACTACCCCTTCTCATCCCAATGGACCTGACCTCATCATCAGCTTAATGCTTGAGACTTTACGAGTTCAGCCTATAACAAGGTAATCATGTGACTCGTTCTCCTATTGCAGTAAAATCACTTGCCTGCTCAGGACCGGAGTACCTGCACTGGGCCCACAGCCCCGAGTTCTGCCCTCCTCTAGCACTATTCCAGGGACAGTGAAAGGAGCACCTTAAGCACTAGGAAACAACAAACAGAGCACGGCCATAAGGGGTGCCAGAAAGGAGAAAAAAAGGCTATAGACTAGAACTAACGTCCAGCAATTTTGGTTTTGCTGCATGTCACATACCTTCAGACTCACAGTACTACTCTTTGTGTTTCCTATTGCTAGTATAAATTGAGTTGTAATTTTTCCAACAACCATACTTTCTCCTCAGTTTCCGTAACTGGATAGGGAAAGATGGGATGGAAACTATTCTGTAAAAGAGATGCTATGGATTTAAAGACCTGGCCTTAACTGATAAAACAGCCCCCACCATGATCTGAGAGACCATATCCCTTTCATGACAGTAATGCAGACCTGAAGCGTGCCCACACCTCTACCTACAGAGGCAGATCAAGATATATGTGATTACATCAAAATGGTCTCAAGGAAACTACAGGTTTTCAGCCCACACATTTCTGTGAACTTGAGCTGTAAATCTTTGCATTTTTAACCCAGGCTGGCACATATACTTCCAAGTTGAACAATGTCACCGGATCAAACAGGATTTTTGATTACATTTTCATCATAAAACTATTAACAGTTTTCCCTATAGATTTTTATCAATCCCAGTAGGTGGAAAACTACAAGAATGTTTCATGAACTTCTCAGATGTACGTTTGTGAAACTACCAATAGTGTCTGTCAGGTACATAAATGTTTCTTTGATACTGATTATTTCCCATGTGGTCTGCAAAACACATGCTTTGCTTCATTCTCTGTTCCTCCTAACAATAAGACATATTTTTTTGCACAAGACCACACTGTGACAGGCAAATGCCTCTAAACAGAAGCAAAACAGAGACAGAGTAAGATCCAAGCTTCCTTCAGCAGTCCATGGCACAGATCAGCATGATTAATACAAATCATTGCCATTTTAACAGTTCTACAATTATGTATGTAACTGAACTAACTTCAGGGAGTGATCACTTTAATATTCACTGAGGAGATATTTCTGAAACCACAGAGTTTCAGAAGTTTATAACTTGCAGAGTTTAAGATCTTCTACTGCAGCTGCAGGTGAGCCAAGTTTGGAGTTTCAACCTCAGCAGTATTTAACCACACTTGTTCTAAAATAAAACTGTAAATATAACCAGACTCTGGCTGTTAAAAATTAAAAAGTCCTCTTGAAAGCTTTTCTCAAGTCATGCTTACAGTATTCCAAACACTATTTTTCAGCATAACACTAACTGCAGCTTTGATCTAGACTGAAAAAAACAACACTGGAGCTGTACAGTTACTATATTTAGGTAGTACATTGGGACAGACTGAGCCATGAACACACAACTGAACGGATATGAATACATTTCCATTCCTCTCAATATTAAACAAACACGTTCAAAAGTCCATTTAAATAACTCAAGGACTACTTAAGAAGCACACACTAATGCTTACAATACTGAAAATAAGACAGAAGAAAGTCAAGTATCTTGCTGACTGCTGACACACTCACCACCCTTTCCCTTCTGCTTTACCATGTTATGTCTTAGCCCATGCAAGTTTTCTGGGCTATGATTTTGGCTTGCAGGCTTGCAAGGTGCCCAATGAGGACAGGAATACTGGCTCAAAGTGTATGGTGGAGTAAAAAGGAGTGACAAGGATGTCATTCTTGGTATTTCAGCTCAAAATCTGGAGTGGCTAGTAGCTCTCTATAGACACATTGCTTGCCCTTGCAAATCTTCCAGAATTTAAAGATTATACCCTAGTTAGTCCAATATCTTCTTAATGCCAGTCTAGACAACAAATCATAACTGTCTGTTTTCTAACACCTTGATCATAATGCAATGTGATTTGACTAATTGATTTCTAAGATCTAGTTTTGACATGGTGATGCGCAACATGTGCAAAAAAAGGTTGAAAAAACCTGCTGTGGAGTCTGAACTTGATTTAGATTCCTTAAACTATGTTAAATACACCTCAAATTTCTCATAAGAGTTAGCCTAACATGTGCTAACATTACTGCTCAAATCCTACTTCAAGTAAGACAAGTATTATTTACATAACTTCATTCTTCAGTGGTGCTCCAAGTCAGAGGATACTATTTCTAGGTCACTGAAGTGACTCCACTTCTGAGAGTCAAAGATTTAAAATATTAATGAAGAATGACGTCTTGTAAGCACTATACTGAGCAAGCACTATGGGCCCTGGTTTCTGCAGCACTTCACCACAGCAGACTGGAAACTCCAGGACAGCTCCACATTCAATTTATGGTGGAATTTTGTGTCAAGTTATCTGTGAATCAACTGTTCTACCACCAGCACACCATCTTCTGGTGCTATTTAGTGCAATCCCATGCTACAGTGTGTCACACTTTTAGTTTTCCGTATGCCATAAATTTTTACAAACAAAACATATAAAAGCAACACAGAAGTAAGTTTTTTCATGGAGAAGTTTGGCAGCTGGGAAAGGGACAGTTGGAGCTTTTGGCACCAGAAGCAGCAATTTGGTACTGCTGGAAAAGCACATTGTTTGGATGTTTCTGATAAAAGAATCTGTAGTAATACAGCCCATATTGGCATTACTTTACCTTTAGGTTTCAGAAATAACAGCTGATTGGAAAAAGGCATCTTCAAGATGAAGGAACTCTTGGTCAGCTCAAACTTACACCCTGGGACATGGGAACAAATCCTCAGGGAAGATATTTTCAGGAAGGACAGCAAGGTGAATGGGAATAGTCAGCTTAGATTTATCACAAGCAAATCACGTTTGACCAGCCTGATTGCTTTCTGTGATGAGATGACTGGCTCTGTGGATGAGGTGAGAGCACTGGATGTCATTTTCTTTGGCTTTATCAAAGCCATCAACACAGTCTCCCATGCAGGGCAGGACTGGCATTCAGCAGAACCTCCACAAACACCGAAAATGGGTCAACAGAAACTGCATGAAATTCAAATGGGAAGTTCTACACCTGGTACAAAATAACCTCATGAACCAGTACAGGTTGGGCACTGACTACACCCAGACAGCAGCTCCAGTGAAAAGGACCTGAGGTTCCTGCCGAGTGACAAGTTGAACACATGCCAGTAGGGTGTCCTTGCAGTAACAAGGGCTAGTTGCATAGTGGCCTTCTCTGGCAAAAGCAGAAGCAGCAGTTCAGAGAAGATAATAGTTTCACTTTACTTGGCACTCTTGAGGGCACATCTGGAATACTGGCAACACTCTATTGGGCCTCCCAGTAGAAGACAGATATTGACAATCTCTGGAGAGACAGGGACTGTCCAAACAGAGACAGTTAGGGCTATGGAACGTTTGCAATACAAGGGCAGGCGATGAGATGGATTTGTTTAGCCTAAAGGAAGGGAAATCTAATTTCTGTCTTCCACTACCTAAAGGAAGTGTTATAGAGAAGACAGAGATAAACTCTTAGAGGTTCACAGAAAAATTACAAAAGGGAGTGGTAAAGAGCTGCAACAAGGGAATTCCCACTGGCTGTAATGAAAGAATTCTCCACAAGGCAAGCCATTTGGCATCAGGACAGGGACCAAGTGAGATGGTGGGATCTCCATCCTTGGAGACCTCCAGAACTGGATACAGCCCTGAGCAGCCAGATCCCATTTTGAGGCTGGCCCTACCTCAAACAGGACATTGGATTACATGACTTAAATTTTTCCTGTCACTCTGTGACCCAAGAAAAACCAAACCTACCTTACTAGAGACTTCTCTTTAGTGCTTTTTACAAAGCCATACTGTTTACCTGAAGCTCCTCTGTAAAATAGTCACTGCTTGAGGTAGTTTTTTCAGCCTTTTCCTTGTTTGAAATCCCCTCCACACAGCCTGGATTATACAAGCTGCTTGATGCTGCCTCTGAAATTAATAAAGCAGTTGGTAGAATATTTTCTCTGCATATAAAAACACTTATTACTGCTTGCACATTTGGAACAATCTCAACATTTGGCCAAAACCCATCAGTTTTCAAATGCATCAAAATTCAGTATTTATAAGACCTTAAAGTCCCCAAGCTGTTACAAGACAGTTATTGTCATGAACCCTGTATTTGCTCCAAAGGCAGCTAATCTGATCATCTGGATTGGTGCTCTCTGTGGTAAACAAATTAATCTACAGAACAAACATAAAATATGTATTAGCTGCGTTAATCAATGCTAGAAATTCGTATTTAAAACACCTAAAGCACTTGATATTTCAAATGGTGATTCAATCGAAATACCTACACTACAGAGGACAGAAAGACAAGTTTGAAGAATTAGCAGCATAAGAAATGTCACATTTGCAGTATGATTGGAAGTCACTGAAATGCAACATAAAAAAAAAAATCAATTCTATTTTTAAATGGATTAAAAAAAAAAAAACAAAAACAAACCCCCACACAAAACACCCTGCTCTGTTGAAGGTGAAAGCAGGTCTCTACAAACATAACTCTGATTTCCTTTAAAGTATCGTCTCTGGGAAACACGCATGTAAAATTTTGTTAAGCAGTTTATAAAACACACATCATCTCTTTTATTTGGAACACAGCCTAGAAGTTGCTCTTACTGAACATTTTCTCTATATGACTTAATACTGTGTGAATGCTGCCTAGAATTCAGAGATCTAAATTTGTAACACTGATGTGAGAAAAGCAGATACAGTTGTTTTTGGTTTATAGTTAGCAAAACAATTTTTTTTCCCCTACAGTTGTGTACAAATCCATGGTGAATCTGCAACAGAAAATCAATCTCTCAAGTCACAGTCTCATACCTTAATCACTAGATAATTTCTTGATGTCCTCAAAAATTACAGAGGGGAAAAAATAATAAATAGAAAAATTTTAAATCTATTAATGTAGTGAAAAAATAACACGGACTTCAAAAAGCATCACCACCATGACAGAGTAAATCAATTCTAAACATACATAAATCACATGTAACTAGGATTTCGCATATAAAATCTTTATTAAACTTCAGCACCTGCATTTCTCCGTTTCCATTGGATTGTTCCAAGTACAGAAGGTCCAAGAGTTGACTGAGATCCTTGTCAAATCCTTTGCCAGTCCACTGTTTACTTAAAAGCCCTTTTAACCCTAAGAGAGACAAAAGAAGCATGTGACATCACTAAGGTGAATTTTTCTTTTCAGGATTTCAAACTAACAATTTTAAAGTCAAAAAACCAAATCTGATTCTATGTGCAAAGGAACACTAGAGCAGAACACCATCAGTCATATTTGGGTTTCAGTGCAGAATATTATCAATGAATATCTGGTGCTCCAACCATCACAGAGAAGTATTATTCAGTGACTGTAATTTTGTAAGTCCAAGTCACTATCCATTGTGTCTGCATAACTGGCAGTTAAATTATCAATGTACTTTCAGTGTCTTATCAGGAAGTCATTGTAAGGTACTAAAAGGATGTAAAGCACTATGCAAGTGCTAGGTTTTATTAGCACTGCTTTCATATTTTCCGTAAGAAAGTGTTTTTATTTATAACTGGAATTCTTTGATGTCTTATCTGTATAGCATAATCTAACTGTGAGTACACGTGCATCCAACCTCTGAGACAAAACAGCTTTTTATGTTCACAGTAGCTAAAAAGCGCACTTGTGCTCCCCCCACAACACAGACACTCCCTGTGCTGCGCAGAGGACACAAGTAGACAGTAACACATGCTTTTTAGCTTCGTATCAGACAAATCCCAGAGCTTGAGAGTTCCACAGGGAGTTGGAGGGAAAAGGAAGGAGGACAGGAAGTGTTTGGATAACCTCCTCAAGAACTGCAGATTCAAGTAAGTATTCCATATTCAAATCATGGTCCATACACATATCCATACACTGAGCAACTCCAACACTCATATACTTATGGGATCTGGACATGAAGTACAAAGTTTTTCATGCAAACAGAAGTGGCACCTCTGTTCTATCACACATACACTATTTTGGAAAGACGATGACAGTTGAGCACTCCCAATGGTGTCAGCGGGTGCCCTAAAGCTGCCTGAGCTCTGCAAAAGCACATATACACGAGGCAGTTCCCTCACAGAAGTCCTGTGGGTCTGACACAACCACCTGCCAGTTTCCATACAGACCACACAGCCATAGGCACCTTTCAGCTACTGTCAGGGAGTACTTCAAGTGTGCCTCTTAGATGTGTCAACCCAGGTAGACAAAAAGGCCAGGCCCTCCTGGAAACCTGATGTAAAGACCGTGCTAGTCTTGGAGATGTAAGGTTCAGGTGATGTCCTCACCTCCAGCAGGCTGCCTTTACTGACAGAAAGCTTAGGCTGAAGTACCTCAGACTGGCAGCGGCTCTGAGACACTGTGAAGCCAAGTTACTTCAATGAGACGGCCAGATGGTGGAAATGCTGTAATGCTTTCCTTGTTGCTGCTGTTCCTCAAACTATCTAAAGGATTCCAAAGCCTGAGTGAAAACTAACATAAGGACTCTAACTTACAAAAAAAAAAAAAAAAAAAAGAGGAAAAAATTATATTTTTTTTCTTAGTGGAAACAGGAAACGTGTACAGAAGAGAGATGAAGACTCTCTAAATAACTGTGGCATTTTGCGATTCCAGAGCAAAATAAAGCATAATCTTTTGATAGAGACTTGTACCTCTTCAAACAAGACAGCATTCTACAGCTGAGACAATCAGACCATCACAACAGCTTTGTAAGTATCCACAATGAGGTAGCAGCTTTAGGCACATTATACTTAATTCCACACCAAAAGTAGACAAAAGGGTGGCAAAACTGCCCACCTGGTCCAGAAATCTATCTGGCTGGTGCTGCCTAATAAGTAGTCAGCACAAGTGTAAAAAAGGAGAATCGACCCTTTTGTCTAGCACACCCACTTCTTACTGTCCTTGTCCCCAAAGGACTGGGGCTGCTCACAAGTAGTTTTTACCATCAATAACATCCAGAATATAAAAGACCTGGCAAACATCAAAGCTGCTTTCTTAGTCTCCATGGGCATGACAGAGGACAAAGGGGTTTCTTGGAGCTACCTGCTAGGCTACAGACAGAAACAGTAAATGGGAGACCTTGTTAAATAATGAATAACGTAAAACAAATTATACGCATACTCAGCCTCCTCATCTAAAGGCATCAGGACAGAGCGATAAACTCATTGCATGAATTCTTGGAAAGAGTTAATCCCAATCACTCCGATATCAAAAGACAGTCGGCTCCTCAGTAACAGAACAGCACCTATCAGATAAGCACACCTGTAACGGGGTCAGAAGTTGGCTTTAAGTAAAATTTTCATGCTTCTGGACTAGTGAGCCTTCGCACGCTGGCAGATGTCTGACACACGGCTCTTACCGTGGCAGTACAGGCACCCTGCTACTAGGATCTCTCAATATGCAACCTGCACAGGAGTAAAGATGCAGAACGTAACATAGATGGGATGAAGTACATCCCATCAGGTTGGAAGTGACAAAAAACAGCTTTAAGAGACAAGCTGCCACATGCGGAGTCCTCAATACACAGAAGAAAATAAAATTAGGAAACAGAAAGAGGCACGTCACCTCAAACTACAATGAAAATGAACAGTAGAGAAGGAAAAAAAACCCACAACACAGCACTGCAGTTTCCATCAGTATTGGATAGTTATTGAATCAAGATGGGAAACCTCCATCTTTGTACTTTTACAGTGAATGTAAGAGGAAGCCAAGTGATTGGCCCCATGCATGTTTACAAACCTCTGTAGCGAGCTGTGAGTAACTTCACAAGCTGCCTGCAAACTTTTGCCACCAACAGTAGCAGTTTTGTAGCAGCATTTCCTACGACAGGATTGGTGGTAGATGACAGCTTATAAACAAGTTCATCCAAAATAGCGTGAAGGGTCTCTTCATCAACCTGAAGCAAGACAGAACTTTAAAAAGAAGAGGGGTGGGGGGGAAGGCAGGAGGGGAATACAACACAGAATTGAAGTGTTAATTGCAAACTATGAGCTTTTTAACAGTGACTTATTTTTAGATATGTCATGCATTCAGCACACCAACATACCCAGCTACCTGGACCAGCAATCTGATCCAGGCAGCACTACTGTTTCAATCAACTGGTTCCCATTCCCTCAATTTAACAAGATAAAGAAAATAGCTGATTTTTTTTTATTTCTACAACAAACGGTAGGAAAAAGAAACCCACAACAATTCTTGTATATGAAGAAGTTCTATTTTACCAAGCAATAATGAACCAAGTTTTAAATTTAACATGCAGAAAAATCAATGATATTGCAAAAAAACCCAACTAACCTATTGACCCTCACAGTATTGTGTAAAACAGACATCGTTATAATTGCTGTTTCAACATCATCTGTTATTAGCAACTGCAGAAAGTGATCATTTTGCAGTACTGCAAAAAAACAAAAACAAGCAAAAAAGAAATGCAATCAGAACCAGACTTGAAAATACCGTAAAACAAATAAACTTCATTATGGAACACAAGCCATAGCAAGTAAAACCAGATACTGTTTCTGGAACAAACTCCCTCTCTCATAAATTTTACACTGAAAATTACTGGAATAAGTAAACTACTTCAACATCCAAAAAACATGTTGAGCCCTGATTTTTCTGCCTTTGGATATCCCTCAGGCACTGATGTTGCAATGGAATAAAAGCTTTAAAATCTTTTATGTTACACTAGTACCAGTGTCTGATTATGACAGCTGAATAATCACTGGGTCAACAATATCCGGAAAAGATAAGGACTTCAACCTTGACAGTTTGTTACATCAAGTTTATTTAACACAAGTCTACTGATATCATTAAAGCACCACCTTTTTTATTCCACTGTAACAGTGTCTAAACATTTAATAATTTCTCTGGCTGTGTCTCTTTTTAGTTACACATCTTATGATCCTCAGGTTTTTGTTCTATATTAGAAACAAAAGCAAATCTGGCTTTTTAAAATCTATGTGATTAACACTGGTTTAATTGAAAGCTTATTTGGGTCAGAAGTGTATAGTCAAGTTTTTTAGATATTTGTAGAATTTCCTGGCACGACAAAAACTTCAGAAACCTGTTTTCAAGTCTATCCACTTTTCAGGGCCAGCAATATATTCTGGTCAAATTTCTGCATACGTTAATCACACGCAGGTAAGAAGAACAACTGTATCTTATCAGAAGAAAAAGCTGATTTTTTAAAGGTATAGAATTAGAAAGGGAAATTACAGGAAAACTTCAAATGTTTGTATCTGAAAGACTAGAAGGGGAACTCGAAGATTTCCCATTAGTGGATCTTTTCCATTTTAGGTATTGCTGTTTCTGTTGAGTGGACTACTTTAAGAGATTGATTTAACACTTACTCCAATTTAGAAAACCAGGTGGAGATTAGTTTAAGAGTGGTTCTTGATACCTGTAGTTGCCATAAATACATTTTCAGGTGTTTTATGGGTTTACTTTTCCCTTACCGCACGCTGCCAGTTGAATATGTCCACCGAACAGCCAGCAGATGGCATCAGTTACTGTTTGGAACCAGCGTAAAAAATCTTGTTTTTCTTCATCCTAAACAAGAAAAGTAGGTGTACGTATCTTCACTGAGGACTTCAGCTTGGTACAGTGGGAAGGTTTGTATGCTTCAGGAATTGGGAGACCAAAACTCCATTAAATTCCTGGATGAGGTTGGTGAAACTGTAGGACCCAGTCAAAAAAAATAACTTGCCAGTCCTTCAAGGCCAGAGATCAGTCAAGAAAATCTAAACATACTAAAAAAAAATCATCCATTCCTGAAAAAATCGTAACAGGGAGAGATAAGACTTGTTTACTCCTTAAAAATTTGATAGCATAGGAGGTCTAAGAAGACAAATAATGGCTCAGTACAAATGCATCATAGATTCAATGCACAAAGCAGTAAATACATTATTAAGATTAAAGCACAGGGAAAAAAGGGTACAAAATAGCCAAGGATACAGTTAAAATGAAAAAGGTTCCTAAAAACTGGCATGGTGAGGCTTCAGAAGCACCTCCTACATGGAGGTCTGGGAGCAATCACCAAAGCACGATTAAGCTGAAGTTTGATCAGTTTGCCAAACAGACTGTGTTATGTGCTTGCCTGTGATAACACTGGACTGGAAAAAATGACCAGGAAGAACCTAGGTTTTAACATGTGAATGCACATACAGTTGCACAGTATAGAGTCTGTATTCCATGTCGGAGCCACAGGCCACTGGAAATCTAAAATCTTGGTGTGTGGGACAGCAAATGGGCTTTTGATAGTACTACATTGCTGACAAACGTTGTTATAAAGCACTTGGGCTGCTATCTCCCGCATTAACTGAGCCTCCACAAATGAAACTCTGGAAATCCTGTTCCTAGATCTGTGCTGTAAGTCCTAGCTGTCAGTCGCAGTTTAACTTTGTATTTGTTTTTTACTGACAATGAGAGATCCAAAATCACAGTAATGGTTAAGCTGTAATATTATCTGTTCTGTGCTTTGGCAATACGTCAGTTTCTGAAAGCTATTTCAGTACTTCCCTTGACTTCAAAGACTGGTACAAAAAGCAAATGAGGGGAGAATAAACTACAAATCTCCACTGGTAGAGTGGGATTTCCAAAGTTCCACTGAGCAAGCACCAAGTCTGGGTGCCCAGTCACCCCTGAGACCACGAGGTTTAAAAGCCAAAGTACTAATTATAATGTAGACTGCATTTGCATTCAAAAGAAATCTTTGCCCACAAGCATGACTCAAGTAGCATGTAGGCTGAGACATAATAAGAAAGTGTGGGGGAAATTACATATTGCGGATAAGACTTGAGTCTCCTGGGATGTCATTCAGGAAGCTCCCTTCTTAAGCACTAACTGCACTTCTAAAATACCGAACTAACACAAAGTATGTTACTCTACTGATACTTTCTGAGAATTGATTGTTTGTGGTGTCCATGATAATATTCCATAGGAAAAGTCTAAGTACAAGAAGCCAGTGAGCCAAGAAATTAGATTCTACGGGGAAATGGGGATATTAAAAGAAACTATCAGAATCCATGAGGTTGGTTATTTAAATTATTTGTGGGTTTCGTTTGTCGTTTTTTTCCCTTCTGATTCTGGAACTCAGAATGCTTTAAAAGCATGAAGGAACCTAGCTGGACAAACCCCTTCTCTGTAAAGAGGGAGAGAAACGTGAGACCGTGTTCAAATCTACAAATGCACAAAGTCTGCCTTTGGGGTTCCCAATGCACAAGTTCAGAAGAGTGAGCATTTTTGGAAATTTTTGACAATTTTGTGGCAGAAATTGTATGGCAAAACAAACTTCAACAAATCTGATTTAAAATCTTAAGACTTCTTAGACCTTTTTTGTAAAGCTGAACAAAGCAATGGGAACAAAACTGTTACAAAGACTGAACTAATTATATGCAAAGTTTAAAAGACACTAACCGTGACTGGGATGCTGCCTTTTGTAAGGCACTTTTTTTCTATCATACTGCTCTAATTCTTCTATCCTACTTATTATTGCTTTCCCTTCCCCTACCTTTAAAACTTGCAATAAGTAATAGCCAAACTCGCTAAACAGACCTGTGGTAACAAACTAGCTTTGCACATGTAATGGACTGAATCCTCTACAATGACAGATTTCAGTTTCAAAGCTCCAACTCACAAGAAAAACTATTGTAATTTCTGGAAAATAAATTTTCATAATACAGTATCCCTAGAATAATAACCTACTTATACAATATGTAACCTTGGAAAGTTTATGGAGGTTATCTGCTCTTTTAACTATGAAATATAAATACCTTGATTGCTCGGACAAATCGTGCTTGCAAGCGTCTTCCCAAAAACAGCAAGTTGTCTATAGCTGAAGGAAGAAATTTCTTGTAAAATTCTTCAGGATCTTCTTTCACCTCTAGCCCTACACAACAATGACTGAAATGGGAAAAAAAAAAAAAAAAAAAAAAAAAAAAAAAAAGAACAAAAAAATATCAACCTGAGCAGTCAAGGGCCTGTTTGAACAGCTTTGAATGAATGTCATGTCACTGGAGAAGAAATGCTTCACTGGCATGGGACAATTCAACACTGAACAACAGTTAAGTGCTGTGACTGGCTCCAAGGTAGCTGCCTCAAAAAAAAGAGGAATCACTGGCAGGCCAGAGACTGCGAGTAGATTGGCCACTTATTGTAGCATGTCTCAGTTTAAAACATATTCATGGCACTTTCTCCTTTAGCTTCACAGGATCTGTTAAGGCTAGGGAAGGGCTCTGATGGTTATAAAGGAAAAAAAAAAAAAAAAAAAAGGCAAAATAGAAAGCTAGACATAAACCTGAAAAAGAAAGACTAATGATGAAGGGGGTGCAGATCAAGCAACAAAAACATGTATTAAAAAAATAATACTTACCACATAATCTTCGGCAAGTCTGCCTAAAACTTTCCTCTAACTGAGGAATACATGTGGGCTAGAAATCAGTTCTTCAGATCTCAGTTTTCTCATTTTATTCACCGCAAACATGTTGGTCATTTCTGGAAGGCTTTTTACAAGAAACTGCATGTTTTACAGCTGGGAAGTTTTTCAGTTCTGTATTCCACATTGGTACTAGTGCAACAAAAGAGTCTTCCTAACTTTTATTAATTTTGCTTTCTGACATCATATCTAGGCTTTGTTAGCTTTTTGTGAATGCACACACGTAAAGCTTTGCTTACCAAAGCCCTTGGAAAGCAAATTCTAGGCATGAATCTGAGATTCATCTAGTTACAAAAGGACATTTTTATAGCTAAAATAAATTTCAGTTTTCTCTGTAAACTGAAATAGCTTATAGGGGATGATTTAAGTATCACACAACTCTGGTGATAAATCTTGCATCTCTTAGCGAAATTCCTGGCATTAAAAATTCATACTGCAGATATGGCATAAATAAGAGACGGTTGCCTAATTGCTTCATGCCTTAGAATTTTGCTCCCTAGTTGAGCCAAAATGAAGTACAACTTGAGGAAAATTTAAAACTTATTATTTTTCCTGACATTGAAAACCGAGATTGGATCACTGGGGATTTGAGTTTAAAGTTGTCTTACTTACCAGCTATGAATTTAACTTAATAATGCCATTCTCACAACATCACTACATCAAGCTATCTAGTCTGCATGAACTGTGTCCTCTGCTATGTTTAAAATGTAAATAGATATTTAAAATTGATATATTAAATAGATATTCAAGTAGAGTCAAGCCAGGCTGTGAGTCAACCAGGCTGAAGATTTTTGCAAGATGAAATCTAGGTAAACAAACTTTTTATAATAACTGCAATTCAAAATTAGCAATGACTAGGTAAAAACTGTGACACTGATGAGCACTGTTCACAAAAAAAGGTAAAGCCAACACAAAAACTGTTCCCACCGACCAGTTTACCCAGCTCAATGAAACACAATGTGAATGAATTAAACAGGACCAATTAGGCTATGCCTGACCCCTCCGCTCTTGACTGCTCCCTGCACTTTAACCCTGGCCTTTCCTGAACAACAAGCCTTGTTCTGGATGGGAGCCAATGTATTACAGCTTGAAAAGAAAAAGAGCAAGATGAAAGGCCAGAAAGAAAACTCCTTAGCTTTTTTTTTTTTTTTTACCTTAGTAGCTCTGCTAGCTGGGTAGCTGTAGCCCAGCCTCCACGCAGTCGAGAGTGGTCTTGTCTAAGGACCAGCAGGCAGTACTGAGTAAGTTCATAATCGTATATGTCTTGCTTAATTTTTTTGGATGCTTCACATCCCAAGGAAACACTGTTTAAAATTTCTGTGGGAAGAAAGCAGGAGAGAGATAAAGAGAAGCATAAGATTCTGATGTGCAAGATTTTTTTTTTTTCTTTTCCAAAACATAAGAGGAGTATGTGTACACAGAGGCAGGATTAAGGTAATTCTAAAAGTCCTAACAACAGCATAAAATATTTCATCCGTATTTTTCACTCCTACAGCTACAATCAATTTGTGAGATTATATGACAATTGGGAAGGACAGCTAAACTCAGATTTCCATTTTCTCGTTACACATTTAGTAGTAAAATATACATTACCTGGGATATAGCCCATTTGTATGAATTTCCTAGGCCAGATTAAACCACAACCACTGTGAAACATATAGCTTCCTTATAATTACATCCCAATTTAGAACAGGACCTAACTTGTTTCTACCGTTTCTATGAACAGTGGCCATGTGGCAAAAGGAAAGACGGGGAGGGCGGGGGGGGGGTGTGTGTGTGTGTTACACCAGAGCTCGCTGTGATTGCATTTCTATGTTGACTTAAAAAATTAAATACTGACGACCACTGTGGCTCTCCACCCAAAAGCAATGGGAGAAATCACTTGATCAAGCGCAAGATCCTTGCCCACATCAGCAGAGGTGTTACAAACACGGTGACAGCTGAGAGGGAGCAAAGACTTCCTCTCCATTTCCTCCCCAGCTCCTCCTCCTTAGTGTTGCCAAGCCAAATGCCACTCAATACCACTCTCAGAAAAAGCCGTATTATCAACCTTGCAGTTTCCAGCCCTGCCAGAAATATTCAGAAAAACCTCCTGTGTTTGAGGAGGCAGAAGGAAGAAGGGCTGTCCATACATCGCTACCTCATCCTTTCATTTTAGAAACGGGATTAATTACCCTTTAACTTCAGAAGTAGCAGGGGGATGTCCTGTTCTCTGCTCTCAGTGACCTGAGCAGCTAAGGCCAGTACCCGGGGGTCTGCAGCGGCCAGCCCCGTGCTGGCCATAGGAAACAGCGAGAGGCCTGCAACACCACCGATTCAAGCCTCTTTTCCTTCTTAATTGTTTCGGTGCGGACGTGGGGTCCTTCAGCCACTATTCCCACCAAACCTCCGGCTCCCGCACCATCAGCTGGAAACAGAGCCGCTCCGCCCTGCGCCCGGGGCCGCGGCTCTCCCCCTGAGGAAGGAAACAAACATGGAGAGGAAGCCGCATCCACGCTCCCTCACGCCGCCTCCCGAGGCCGCGGGCGGCAGGACCGGCTCTGCCGGCAGCGCGAGGCTCCGCGGACAGGCCCCACGGCGCGGGCAGCGTGAGGGGCCGCCGTGAGGGCCGCCACCGCGCCCCCTCAGCCGCGGGCGGGGCGGGGCGGCGGGAGGGCGCTGCCCGCCGGCAGGGCGGCGAGGGAGAGGCGCTCCACTCCCACCCGAGTCACCCCGGCGGCGGCGGAGCCCACGGGGCGCCCTGAGGGAAGCCCCTTCCCGCCCCCACGCAGCTCTCACCGCGGGCTCCCCCACTTCAGGGGGAGCGGGGGGGGGAGAGGGAATTACAACACCGAACTCTCTGCCTCTAACCCAACCGCTGCCTCCACACACACACCCCCCCTCCCCCGCCAGCCGTGTGGTCGCGGCCCTCTCTCCACCAACCAGAGCTCTCCCCTGAAGGAGGCGGGTTTCATTTGCATACCCGCGCGCGGGCTGGCGCCCCCGACGGCTTCCACGCGTGGCGATCCGCAGCGGGGGCCGCCTCGCCGCCCACCCCCGGCCCACGCGGCCCGTGACGCGCCGCTCGAAGGGGAGGGGCTCCGCCGGCCCGCGGGGTGGAAGCACGGGTGGGCAGGGCCTACCCCGGGGGTGGGGGGAGGAAAGGGGGGGGGGCGCGTCCACAGCCCGTGGGCGTGCCCGGGCGGTGCGAGGGGGATGTTCGGTGGCGGCGGCGGCGGCCGCTCGGGCTCGCCATGGTCTGGGGCGCCGCGATGAGCGCCGCGGCCCCGTCGGTTTTCGACCCGAAGGCGCGGGTGTTGAAGCTGGGCGAGAGCTTCGAGAAGCAGCCGCGCTGCGCCTTCCACACCGTCCGCTGTGAGCGTGGGGCTGGGGGTTGCCCCCCCCCCCAGGGGCGGGCTGAAGTCTGCGGGTGGGTCGGAGCAGGCCCGAACGGGCACGGGTGTGAGGGGAGGACGCGGCGCGGCCGGGCGCTTGGAGAGGATGAAGCGTGGCAAAACTACCGTGGGGTTTGTTTGCGTTGTCGCCGGGCTCAGGTCCTTCCCCCCCCCCCCCCCCCCCCCCCCAAACCTTCTTCCCCCGGTTTGGGCAGACACCGAAGCGCTGTCTGTGGGGGAGCCTGTCTCTTCGGTAGGCAGGTCGTCCCGGTAGCCTGCTGGGAGCCGAAATTTCAATTAGACGCACAGGTAGGGCCCGGGAAAGGTGAGGAAAGTTGGCCGTCTTCACCCCGGGATTTTGGGGGTACGCCAGGGAGCCCTGCGGCTGGGGTGCTGGCGCGGGGTCTGGGGAGCGACGTGGTGCAGGTCTGCTGGCAGTAGCTCCTGAAAGTGTTTGGCTGGTGAAGTGCATGGCCGTGGTATCCCCGCGCTGCCCCTCGCTACTTTCTGGGCACTAACTTCATTTTTTACACCTTTCGCATCCAGAATAGCGTCTCGATGCAGTTCCTCTGAAAACCAAATTGGGCTGAAGTTCTGGCTTTGCCCTTTTTCCTCGTGCTTAGTTTTTAGAAGTACAATTCAGCAATCAAAGGTTAAAGGCAGTATTAATCACAAAGCTAGTATGCCCTCCCTGAGTACATAATTACTATCTAGAGAGGTGTGTGCTCAGAGATTCTGAGTGTAGCTAGGAAACAAATGCTCTCAGGATTACAGTTCGGGTAATTTAGGACTGCTGCTTCTGGTTTTGATGTCTCATTATTTATAGACTGATCCCCAAGATTCAGTCTCACGTACGTTCTCTGGAGGATGTCCCGTATGCTTTCACGCAGTGCAGCGAGATGGGTAATGTGCTTTCTGTGAGCAAATGGAACAGCACTTAGTAGGATTGTCTGCAACTGTGGGAGGGGAGGGAAAGGGCAAAAGCTATAAATGGATTTAAACAAACGCTGTAACTTGAAATTTACCCTAATTTTAAAGAGGAGTAAAAACCACGTCTGGTACCTCCTACCCTTATGATTTCTCGCTGACTCCTGTAATTTGATGATTTATTCTGAAATCTGTTTTGAAATCTCTCTTCCTTTCCAACAAATGAGACAGAAACTGGCAAGTTCGTCTGTTCTGTCAAACACGCATGCAAAAATATCCTCCTCTGACACCTGAAGTTTTTGTTAACAAATGACTAAAGGGGAAGACATCTGCTGGTTAAAAGTTAAGATCAGAAGTCTATTTATGGACACTGGCATCAGTATCTTAATTTTCTAAAGTATTAACTATCCAGTAGCCATATATTAAAGCAAACGTTCTCTAATTTGACGAGAAGCTTTGGAACTGTTGTACGCTTATCCCTGTAAGGTGACACATGGGGTTTTGCCTTAAACAAGGTTAGCAGGGGCTGTTACCCATGTTTTAGCTCAAAGTCTTCTGCTGCGTGCATAGTCCTGCCCACCAGCTCTTGGAGCTTGGCTTTCTTGCCCGGTTGGTGTGCCAGCCGGAGCCACGGCTCCCAGCTGTGGTCTGTGCCGCCCGGCCCGTGGGTTGCTGGCCGCGTTATTGAACTGGGAAGCTACCGAGCCGTAACAGATCACTGCCGCCCGTGCCCGGCGGCGGGTGATGTGACCGGTTGCGAGGCGAGGGGTGCTCTCAAATGGGTCCCCTTCACATGCCTGGTCCCTCCGTGCCTCTGTCAGCTGCAACAGGGGGTGCGAGGCAGGGCCCCGGGTGTCCCCGGGGTGTGCAGCTGCCCGGTGGTTGCCTTCGCTGGAACCATGGGCTCAAACCCCCCCGCGAATGTTACCACGTGCCTTGCAGAGCCTCTTGGTGCCATCCTATCTCCCTAGATCTGTGCAGGCAGGCCTTCCAGCTGTAGCCCTTCCCAATTCATCTGTGGTGAAAATAGTATTTTATAGGTAATGCAGTGTTACTCAGCTGCGGTGCTGACGCCTGAACACGTGCTCATTTTTAAGGTTTCAGATTTTTTTTAACAGGACCAGAAGTTGGTATCTTCATTTAAAATTTATTTTAATCAATATTATAGGTGTTGAAAAAGACAAAGAGGAAATGAATATTTAATTGGGAAGTAATTTCACTTTTGACAAAAATAAATATATGGAAACTCAAGTTTTGGTCAGCTTCTGACATGCATGCTATAGCAAAATAGGACTACGGAAATACATATTCAGGATTGATGATGTTCTTTGCATTTTCAGTCACTTGTCTACATCTCCTTTGTTTGAGATCAACATTTTCAATAAATATTTATCTGTTTTTCTGAAAGTAATTATGTGAGGATTTATCTTTTGAAATATAACACAGCTTGTTCAGGCTCTTTCTCCATTAAAACCTAAAAGCATTTTTCTAATTTTAACTGAAAGATTTTAACACATGCTGAATCTTGAGAAACCCATCCTGACTTTGAATTATACTGATTTATGGAATGATCTGCTCGGTGGAATGGTAGATGATACACTGGCAAAAAAGGCTTTAACTTAATAGCCTTGAACTGCAATTAAAAGGTGTCTACATTTATAAGATTCCTGAAAAGCCTGTAAATAATCCAGTTTGTTTTTATATTTAGATGACTTTAAGCCTGCATCTATTGATCTGTCCTGTGAAGGAGACCTTGAAGTTGGCAAAGGTGAACAGGTGACAATAACACTACCAAATATCGAGGTGAGTGGGGTGGCTGAAAAGCGGTGGGCCTAAGGGAATTATTTATTTTTTGTCATAAATATATCCAGAATATAGAAGGTTATGAAATCTAAGTGCTGTTTTAGAGGTGCTGGTGAGATTTTTAGAGTAGGAAAACAATCGCTCTAAGAATGTAAAATTACAAAAGATCCAAAGGTTAAACAGCTGTGCTGTAACTTTAAGTGGATTCACCGCATTGGAAATATGCTGTAGGATGACCCAGAAGTGTTGCGTACACAGAAAAGCTTCATGTGGATGTTGGCAGGGCAAGTTTCCCCTTGGTATTTATTGCTCTAGTGCAGTTCTAAAGCAGGAAAGACTGGAAAGGGAAAATTTACTACCTGCCATGCTTTACTGCTCTGCTGATATGGTAACTGAAACCCCTTTTGGTAAAAGGATTCCTAGAGTGAGCATGCTCTCCTTGGGAAATAAGCATTTAATCAGTTTCAGACTAAGCTAAGCTGGGTGAAATCCCGTTCCAGTCAAATGCCAGCTGCTTTTGGTCATGGCTACTGTGAACCTAATTTGAATTAACTGGTAACATTTTTAAAGGCTAGAAATGATCACTTGTAGTGAACTTGTCATCAGAGTTGATGGATTGCTGTTTCTAATAATAATAATAAAAAAAAAAAGACTACAGGAGTAACACTTACTGGTCTTTTGATTTAATAGGGCTCAACTCCACCAGTGACTGTGTTCAAAGGCTCAAAAAAGCCTTACCTAAAAGAATGTATCTTAATTATCAACCATGACACTGGAGAATGTCGCCTAGAGAAACTCAGTAGCAACATCACTGTGAAAAAAACTAGGTGAGTGATGTACAGGAGAAACAACTGTGATTACTCATTGTGAAAATCGATTTGTTAATGAGTCTAAATTGAGATACGTAACTACCCATTACTATTTTTAGCAAAACAGCATTTTTAGAAAGTACCTGGCCTTGTACAATAGAGTGAAAAGCCTGATTTCTCAGCACACTGACTTCACAGCTTTTGAGTCTTGACTGGCAGAAGAAATGGGAATGTTTGGTTTTGGTTTTGTTTATTTTTTTTAACTGAAAACTGTCACATTGTTGAAAGAGATGGTAATTACTTTCTGATGAGGTTGGGGGTGGGGGAAATCTGTTTGGAAAGTAGCTTGCCTGTTGTCTTCTGATTTCTAAATGAGGAAATAAGATAAATTCTGTGACATGTTTCAGTAATGTTAATGACTTATTTTTCTTGTACCAAGTTTTTGAATACTTTTTTTTTTTTTTTTCTGCTGCTGAGTCCATATAAGTAATTTCCAGCAGAAATGATTAAGTGATCCTGTGTAGCCAGGTAAAAAAAACAAATCAACTGTCAAAGGGTTAGACAGTTGTTACTACTGTATTAAAAAACAATTTTTAATCCATCTCTCTATATGTTTATATGCCAGTGTAATAACATAACTAGAAATCTAATGACGCTATTTAGAAAGACATGACAAATAATTCTGTATCCCTTGTATTCTTGCCTTTTTCCTTGCATCTTGTCTTCTGGTAACTAAAAATCTTTTGTTTTTACACACAGAGCTGAAGGAAGCAGTAAAGTCCAGTCTCGCATAGAGCAGCAACAGCAGCAAATGCGAAATGCAACTAAGGTTCCAAACAACATTAAAAATTCTCCATCA